GGAGAGCGCGTTTCTGCCCGCTCCCAAGGCGAGCCGCGGCCCTGCACAGCCAAGTCCCCTCCTGGCCCCAGTAAAAAGAAATGAACACAACGGAGTCCGTTTCTGGAAGGGTCTTTTTGTTTGGGTTTTTTTTTTTTAAGAGCTTCATATATATATTTATATATATAAATTATTAGAATGTGTGTTGGGGCTTGGGAGTGCGTGGGGAACTTCGTTTGGGTGGTTTTCCATAGCTGGGTTGTTGGTTGGTTTTTCTTTTCCTTTTAATGGTTAAGTAAATATATATACGGGGACCAATCGAGAGATACAACTGTGAAATCAGACACGCACGCGGGGGCAAGGGAGTCACAAGTTGCTACATAAAACTGCCACGTCTAATAGGATGTGCATGAGTTAAAGTACATCAATTAGAATGGGTGAGGGGAAAGGGGCAGCCGCCATCTTAAAGAGTCCCAGGACGCAGTACGCTCGGCCACATCAAGCTCTCCCCGCGGGGCTCAGAAGGGGTCATGGTGGTGATTGCAGTCTTGAAAACAGTCTCCTGGTGCTTTGCACCTCATAGCCGTGCCCGTTCCCGTCAGCCGTGGGAAAGCACAGCCACCATCTTGCAAACAGTCTTGCGGTGCTTTGCACCCCAATGGCTGGGACCCGTCCCTCTGCAGGCAGGAGCGGCCGCTTTTGAAGGGGTCCCGTAATGCTTTGTTTGCATCTGAAGGGATGTTGGAGAATGGGAAGCTGCTCTGGCTAATCTGAAAAAGTTCCACGTTGCTTTTTTGTATCGCTAAGCAGTATCTTACACCTAAAGGGGGGCGGGGTGTGAGGAGGCATCTTGAAAAAAGGCTCTGTTGGGTTTTGAGTTGCTTCTTGGCCGCACCGCCTCCTCGCAGAAGCAGAAAAGGCAGCAGCATCATGTACATGAAGTCCTGTAACGCTCTGCGCTTTTTATTTAATGCAACTGTTCCCCCAAAACAAAGGATGGAGCTGCTGCCATCCTGAATTCACATCAGTCTTTGTCTTTTTGAGCTCTGTGCAATGCCGATTCTGTCTTATTCAGAGCTCTGCTGAAATCACGTACCGATCGTTTCATGTCCGTTAGTGGTGTTTCAGTCCCTCCCCATTTTCCCTCCTCCACTTTCTGCTCCCAGGATGCCATCCTGTACTTTTTGTCCCGTCTTCTCTTGCACTCTACTGCATGGTGGGTTCAGGATGTGTCACTCTGCAGCTTCCCCTCCCCCAGAATTTGGTTGATTGATTGCTCCTCTTGAGAGAAAGACATGATGATGTCACGTTGACAGTAGAAGTCCATTTAAAGGGGTTTGTCACTTTCTTTCTTCAGGTGGCTAGGATAAAGAAGAGGAACAAGGTGATTGTGAGAGAGAAAAAGGCAATTTAGTGTCTCCCACTGCCTTTTGTTAGTCTAGACCCGCACGACACTGCTGGCTTGGAAAGTTTTGCAAATACTTGAAGTAGGAGATGCTATTGAAAAGGTACAACATTGCACCTCTCTCTTTCCCAACGTGCTTCTCCATGCACTTCTGAAAGCCTTGTCTTGGCAAAAGCATCCAACCCTTACGAATGTTTGGTATTTTGGCAGGGGTATCAGTCATAACCGTATTAAGCATGTGTGAAACATGCAAGTTTACCCCCCCCCACCAGAGGAGAGGAGCTGAGACCCCACATGAGATTAGCCACCCAACAGCCACTTGCCAAGAATGACCTTCCTGGTGGCCAACCCACAGCTGTGCCCCAGGGGCAAGGCATCTCTGCTCCCAGGTGTGGGCTCAGGCCGAGTCACCCGCTTCAGGGGCAACGCTTCCCTGTCCCCACTGCCTCTGCCACCCCCAAGCCAGGGCTGGGCCTGGAGGTGTACTTGTGAGGACAGAGTGGTCTGCTCGCCCTGCGCCGTGGAGAGAGCAGGTCCATGCACCTGTAGTAATCCTCCTGCGTCGGGAGCGGCACGCCGTGCAGAGGGTGATGGGCGTGAAGCCACTGCTGCTGTTCCAGAGCCAGGCGCTGCAGCTCAGCTGACTGCGCGTGCATGGCCTGGAGCTGATGTGCTGCTGACATGGGCGCGGAGAGAGAGCCCGGCAGGTCCCTGTAGGGTGCAGCTGCGGCCAAAGATGAAACAGAGAATAAACAAGTTAACGTAACAGCTCCATCCTTGCCCATGGCCCCATAGCTCAGTCAAGACTACTGCACTTCCCTTCCCAGCCCTGCCCGTGTGCAGGACTCGCTCATCCCCTGACAGTGTAGGCCTGTCCTACGCCATGTCAGAGCTCTGTTTAATAGACCTCAGTTTGGTCCTGCGACCCTTTGTGACCACCCTGCCCCTTGGAGCTCTGCTGGTGCTCTTTAGAGGAGACCAGCAGTCCCTGTGAGCATCCTTACCAAAAAGCTGGTGGCGCAGCACTTCATTCTCATGTAGAGGGTGAGGCAGGAGAGGGTTGGGGATGGTTCCAGCTGGGTATGGTATCCGGGTGAGGTGTGATCCCGAGGCAAGCGGGTCGATAAGAGGGTGAACAGAGGCTGAGGCTGAAAAGAAAAGATATCACAAGATAATTGTCCCATGCTTTGTAAGAGGTAACATGGAGAAAGGCACAAGGCACAACAAAACAGACATGGAGAGTACCACATCCTTCTGAGCGTTACTCTCCTTGCCTGCATTGAATTTCACGTGAACCAGTCTGGCATAGCTCTGTCCCTACGCTCCTCAGGGAGAAGTACTGCTCCTTAAAGTCGATTCTGCAAGGACCTGCTCTGCAATCGCATCTGTACCCAGTATCGTGCCTATCTGCCACGCAGACTGTCATTCATGTGCATTCTCATATTGGGTGCTTCCATTTTGGGGTCTCATCCAGCACAGATGCTCAGTGCCAGGCACTAAGTTTGCAAGTACTTACCTAAGGCTGAAATGCAAGGTGCTATTTATATGAAAACTACCCAGTGTTTCGGACTCACTGCCAGAGTGCTGGCTGCAGGTGCCCAGCTACAGAGTGTGGGGGAATGGACATTCATTTGTACCTGATGCCACCTCTGAGTAGTTGCGGCTGCTTAGAGGGGGTGTCTGTCTCTGTCTCTGCCACCAGTTCCCACTGACCGCTCACAGTACCTGAGAAGGCACAGCGCTTTTTCCTATTGTATTGTTTGGGCTTTGCTTCCCCAAGATTTTCATCCCTAAACTTCTTTTTACTTTGCTTTCCTGTAGGATGTGGAAATGGAAGGGACCACCACTCAATTCTGAAGGACAGCAACCTCCAGTTCCTTACAATTAGCCCATCTTCTCTCCCATCCCATCCCACCATCTGCAGCAAGAGCCATAGGAGCAAAGCAGAGAACCAACACTTCATTAGTCCCAAGGATACTGTTGAAACTGTTGCTAGCAGGGTTCCCACTCCCTCTGCTGACCACAGTGTGAGGGATGCAGTCCACAGCACCACCACCCTGGTAGCCAGTGGGACCCCAGCACTCCTATTGCGTCCCCAGAGATCCAGAACTAAAGGACGTGGTGCAAACAACTCTGCTTGCCACTAAGCAGCAAACTCACAGACATCAGTGTCTTTGGTGGGATGGGAGCGAGGGCAAGGCTGAATGACCATGATGCTGACCTCTTCTGGCTGAAGAGGTGGATCTGGGGCCTCAAAGTCTAGTCTCAGCAGCTTTTGGGCTTCCCCAGGGCCAGAGGGAGGGAGCGCAAGGAGGGCGCGATAGGAGGGAGAGCAGGGCTTTGTGCAGGGCACCACCACCATGGGGTCCTTACCTGCATGTATGGCATCCTGCTGGTGGAGATGGAGGTGGGAGTGGATGTGGGAATGCTGATGATGATGAGGTGTCACATTGAGCATCTGCAGCCGGGCCAGAGGGTCATTGCTGAGAGCAGCCACCCGCTCGGCGTGCTGGCGCTCAGCTGCCAAGCGCTCGGCGTAGGACATGTCGGGACGAAGGGTCGGGCCAGCTGCCAGCGCCAGCCTCTCCCGCTCCAAGTGGCCCAGCCCTGGGTGGAAGGGAAAAGCAGGATGAAGGCCGGGGGCCGTCTGCAGACTCAGCCCACCATGGCGTGGGAACGGATCCATGGCAGCAGCTGGCACAGCGTGGAGCTGCTCCAACTCGGCTGGCTTGACTTCAAAGCCGGGCTTGAGACGTTCACGCAGGTCCCGGTCCCTCAGGTCTCGTTCACGGGCTTCCCGCTCCCTCAGCTCTCGCTCCCGCGTTGCTGGATCACTGCTGTAGATGGCCGGCACGTTGTACCCCAGCAAGCCTGGATCAACTGCACCCAGCGGCACGTAGAAAGGGTGGTTGCGGTTGCTGGGGGACATGACGTGGGGCCGTGCGTATTCGCTGAGGGTGCGCAGAGCTGGGGTGTCAGGGCCCAGGTACGGGGGAACAGTTGCTACAGCACTGCCCTGCTCGAAGGAGGGGCGGTGGGGAACCGGCCCGAGGGATGAACACTCAACCGGCCGGCCCTCCTGGGCCATCTTCTGCAAGAGAGCAGAGAGACCAGCGTCAGGGTCCCACCACGGAGCGGCCAAGAGGGTCCTTGAGCATCTGCCCCGGCTGCACTGCGGCAGTGGGACATCCAGACCTACCACGCTCCTCTCCAGCTCCCGCTCCTTCTCCCGCTCCCGCTCCTTCTCCCGCTCTCGCTCCCGTTCCCGCTCCTTCTCTTCCCGCGCCTTCTGCTCAGCCTCTCGCCGCACTTTCTCCACCAAGTCTGCCCTCTTCTTGGCCAGCTTGGAGCCGTCGAGGGGCACAAAGTACAGGTCTGTGCGGGAGCAGGAGTTGAAGCCGCGGTCTAGGTGTTTGTTGAATCTGGGGGCAAGAGGCGAAACCTGTCAGTGCAGAAGGGGGCTGGAAGGCAGGGATGGGAACAGGGACAAGGGCCAGGCAAAGCCGAACCCTGCACTGTAGGAAAGGAAAGAGCATCATAGAAAAGGCAAAAGGGCGCAGCTGCACCCCACACGTGGGGTGACCTCCCCTTCCCTGCCCCATATGTCCCTCCCCAGCCTGGGGACACC